CAGCATATAATCATCTACCTGGAAAGGAGCCTGTATACTGCAAGCTTGAATGAAAAAGTTCTTTCCTGTCCTGTGAATGCCTATAATCATGGGGAATGAGAAATGCAATTATTAAGAGCATGTTTTTGACTAGAGAAGCCTGGGATTAAGTTCCAACTGTCACAAAGTGTATCACATTAAACAAATTGCCTAATATTTCTAACTCTCAGATCTCTCGCCAATAAACTGGGATGAAACATTCTTGTCTAACTCATAGAGTGAGGATCAAATAAAGATAGTATATTAGAAAGTGCCTTGAAAACCAAAATCACTATACAATGTTTATTGTTAACTGGAAGCCCCCTTCTTTGGAACCATAGGAAAATAGATATTCCTCTTCCATTTCATCTAGGTGTCCCTAAGGATTTGGTAAGAACCATATTGAATATCCTTACTGGCCTCCAAAGCATCCACTATATGTGAAATACCTTAACTACCCTCTGAGTACTGATAACTTTTAAACCAGAGTCCTCAGGAAGAAAGACCAGGTTTTCAATGATGCTATATCAAGTCCTCCAGGAAATAACATATCTCTAAAAGTTTTTCTTCATAGAATTGATATAGGTGGAGAACTGAGTCATGTATTTTGATTGCAGCTCTTATTTTCTTTTTATGAGCTCCTGCCCTGCCCTGGAGAAAGTCTTAAGTGTTCTGCTGTGATGCTGTACTCACCTTGGTTCTTTCTTAGGAGCTAGTCCTGAACAGGATAGAAATAAGCACTTGAAGTTGACATTGGACATTACAAATTTCCAGAACATTGATGAAATAAGGCATAGAGCTTTGTACTTGGTGTCTTTATAAACATACATGATGTGATATGTTCTTTAAAAAAGAAGTTGAATGTCATTGACATGGCTGGGACCTGGGGATTGCATCATGTCCATTACCCAGCTGATTGCATTTTTATTTCTCATCTGCTGCGGTTGGCATCATAGATAGAAATCCATCCCTGGCCTTCCCCATGCAACACTTATTGAATTGCCATTTCCAAGCCAGTCATCCAGGGAAGGCTGGGATGCTGTGATGAGTCCACTGGGGTTTGGCAAGGGAGTGGCCCGATTCAAGAGGACAGGCTTCTTGAGAGTGGGGATGTGTTGTGCTCTCTGCTTACCCCGGCTCATGCCACAGTACCTGCAGTTTTCCTTTTAGTCCAATTTTTCTTATGGTTCTTGAAACTAAAAGAACCCCTGAAAATGAGGAGTTAAACCTGGAATCAATTTTCATTTACAGCTGAGAAGCAGTTATTGATGCTGTGCTTGCAGTTCAATAAAAGATCTAAAGATATAGACCTTGTGCTTCTCTTTCAATATAAGCAGCCTAATCAGTCTCAAATGTTTTTTTAACAAAGAAATTGTATTGACAGGTTTATTAAAATCGCTGTCTTTAAAGTTTTAAGCTATCCAAAATTTGACCTATCCCAAAGGTTTCTTGAATATGTAATGGCTAAACTCCAAAACTCCTTCCAGCACATATTTATAGAATCAGGTAAACATCTGCTTACTGTTTCATTGGATGATATCAGTATGTTAGATTTATAATACTCTAAGCAGGTATTCTGATATCCCCTGGTGGCAGGCTGGTCTCTGATGCCTGGGTTCTGAAGCACAGTTATATCTGAGTATGGCTCACTCATGGCCTACTAATCTTAGATTGGCATGAGAAACAATAGACTTTAAATACATAAAGGTCATTAAAGACACAGGTGTTTCTAGAAACTGCTTTTAGGACACTTTAATATTAATAGCATCTTCTTATTAATATAAATTAGACTGAAACCTTAGATGACTTAATTTATCTGTTAGAAGTTCAGAAATGTTTAATATGACTAGACATGTTCAATTAGTGACCAGGCTCATCCATAGGAGTCTAGATAAAGCTTAAAGTCATATGCAGTACTTTAAGAGAGCTGTAGAATTCCAAATTTCTTTGGACATACAGGCATTCTAATGTGCTGTGTCTGGGTACATTATGGTAAGTAGCTCCAGTGTCCCCGCATCTATTTAACTGCCTAAGGATTGCCCTCATTCACTTTGAAATGTGCACTTCATTCAAAGCAGGTTACTTGAGGTTGCGGGGACTTTGCAACTAGTTGCTAGTGGCAGAAACATACCTCAAACATATTCCATTTACAGAAAATAATTGTCTTAATTTTTCCTCTCCACTCCATTAGATTATTTCATTTTTGTCTGTATATATCTCCTTTATACACAAAAAATTGCTTTTAATACAGATTCTTGATTTTGGTTTTATATTTGAATGAATTTTATTTGCTTTTGTTGTTGGGCCAGCTTCAAATAGCTAGATTTCCATTTGATAATTGTAAATGAAATGAATTACATAAAAGCTGAAAACTTCTGGCAGCTTCAGCATGTGTTCCTGATACATATAATGCCTATTGAACTTCCAAAACATTTTCCAAGTTAAATTGGAAACCCGTTTTTATGTTGAAAGTTTGCTAATGAAAAAGATGCAATAAATTTTACTCCTGCTATCAGTTGCGTCTTTTGGAGTTGACACTCTGTAGTGAATACATTAGTTGTGACAACAGATACTCTTCCCTGCTGTAATCGGTCCTGTTTTGTAGCCATAGTTCTCCCTCATCATGCTGACCAAGT